CCCACACACACTCTACAATTAGCTCTTTGTGGCCTAAAGAACATAGAATTCTTGGACACAACAGGTGACAAAAAAAATCTCTCGTTCCATTTCCTCCTTTATGTAGCTGCAAGAAATGAAGAAAATGTAGCTGCAAAAATGTCAAGTTCCAACAAAGTATCGACCAGAGACTGACGGAGCACGGAGATCGCAGGGATATTTACGGAAGGTCAGTGACCTTTGGAGGGAGGTTTGTCTCATTCTGTTATTTTATAAATTATCGTCACATGTTGTGTCTCCGTGTTTATTACAACAAACAGGACTGGACGTTAGCTCTGGAGACAGAAACGATCTGCACTGAGAAGATAGAGTGGAGAAGAAGACGAAAAGAAGGACAAAATGAAGACCATGATGATGATGAAGAGTCATCATCATCATCATCATCACGGTCTTCATTTTTCATCGTAAACATCATGTGACCTTCATATGGAACCCATTCAGTATAAACAGCTGCTGTTTGCTCAGCAGGACTGTGGGATTCGAACCAGCAAACCCCTGACGACAAGTCCTTTTACCACCAGGTGATTGGCTGCCCTAAGGATTTGACCCCCAGGGTTGGGGTCATGGCTCTACATCAGGACGATTCAAGTCAAAGACGATTCTGTGGCTGAATCGTCGTTGACTTTTTTGTTTTTATTTAAAATGTGTTCTTCAACAGTGGTATTTTATGTCGTTGTATTTAAAATGTGTTCTTCAACAGTGGTCCCCAACCCCCGGGCCGTGGACCGGCACTGGTCCAAGGCCGCAGATTAAGGACGCATAACTTATCTGATTCTGACCACTGCTCTATAACAAAACTGGACTGGACTGGACTGGAGGTGGACCACATTTGTGTAAGGACGTGACAGCAGGTGGCGGCGTCTCATCGTCTCCGATGACCGACTGTAAATTCACACGACATTGCGGTAAATAAAAGCCGTGCCGTGTAAACAGTAAATTAATTTTTTCTTTTTCCAGCGACTGCTGAACGGTGGCGACAAAACCCGAGGGCTCACGTTTCAGGAACGCCCACGTTTACTTTGAAACCAGAACGTTCTGCACAAATGAAATTGGAAGAAACGTTTGTTCCTTTTCATGACGGATGTTTCCATGGTTTACACAAAAACCACAAAAACCACAAAAACAAAAACAAAAAAGAGATTTTTGGAATTTAATACGGAGTGGAGTGAAGAGTGTGTTTACCAAACGTGAGAGTCCAGGTTTGAGGTTCAAATCCCGGCTAACCAGTCAGTCATGAGGAGAGCAGCCCTCAGGTCGGGGCGGAGTTAAACCCTCAACTGTCCTCCAGCCCATCACAGGGTCACAACATGACGTGTACAGTATATCCCATAATCCCACTTGTTGTTGACAACGTTATAAAAATAATGTGATTACTGTGAAGAACTTCTTTTATTTTTGTTTTTTCTTTAAATTTAATTTTGTAAAAATATTTTTTATGAATCAAATTAATTCCATGTGGTGTGGTTCCTCTAGGAATCGAACCCAGGACCACTACACTATGGAACCACACGGGACAGAGACCAGGTTTACCTGAGGCTGACCCAGGACAAACAGGAAGTAGCGGAGGTTTTCGGCTTCACTCATGACGTCAGAACGACAAATACAAATAACAATATTGGGAGCCATAGATGTGGACTGTGTGGGATATGGTGACATCTAGTGGTGAAACTGTATGTTGAACACCTGTTCAGTAAATAAGCAGTTCTCTGGAAGCAGCTTAAAAATCTAAGTTTATTTTATTTTATTTTATTTACAGGCCTATGTGCAGCAGTAAGTGACGTCACAACTTGATCCGGCAGCCATGTTGGCGGGTAAAGTTTGGTGTTGATACATTAAGGATAGTGAGGACACAAGAGTCACTGATGATTTCAGCTGCTGGAAACAGACAAAATTCTGACTTTAAATCACTGGAACTGTGAGTCTGAATAAACTCCATGTCCACCAGGGGGAGACATCAGTGACTCAGTGACCTGTTGACGTTAACCCTCCTGTAATTATAAGAAGATACAAAAAACAAAAAACAAAAACAAAACACTAGGAAGATAAAAACAAAAACAAAAACAAAACACTAAACATAAATGACGTAATTAAAATCAGTACATTTATTAAGTAGCGCCCCCTGTGTTCACTGTGTTATCTGTTTGACCGCAGATGTTAGTGTAAACGAACCCTGTGTTGGGCCGTCCTCACCTGATGGTTCCAGCCCTACAACATCCTTCAGCTTGTCCATTTTCCCATCGGTCACCGCGGCAGTGATTTTTACACCGGATGTCCTTCCTGACGCAAAGTTACCTGGGACATTGGGACCAGGTGGTGTCGAACCGAGAACCCCGTGGTGACAGGTGGGGTTCATGTTCATGTTTTGACTTTAATTTCCTGGATTACCTGCAGGGGGAGGCAGATCTCCACCTTGGTGCGGCCCTGCAGACGCCAAAGCAAGGATCACGTGACGGTTTCTCAGAACTGGTCGCGTTTCCTCAGTGTGTTCTAAACAAGACGCGATGTTTTATTGTTCTGTGAATCATCCAGTCACGAACAGTTTAACGATGTGACACGAACGTTTTTCTTTTTTGTTTGATGTCCCCCCCTGCCCCCCCCTCACAGACACACAGACAGGTGTCGACAAACACAGCCTGCAGGCAGAATTAAGAAAACCCGTTCGTGATCATTAAAGTTGAATATTCAAATGTGCAGCTGAGGTCAGGAGCTCAGGTTACTGCGTCACGGCAGACACGAGTCCACGAGCAGACGCGGATGACGTGATTGGCCTACAGCCCTGATTACGTCACAGACGTCCGTTTGATGTTAATTCAACAAAAACCAGTTTCTCATGGACACTTTTAAATATTTGATGACGGTGTTTTGGTTCATTTTGGTCTCTGCACCACACGCTCCAGACATCAACAACCAACCAAATCAATCACAAAGTATTAGAATATATTGTTTTTTTGTACATTATGTACATTTCACAGAAGTCAAAGGAGAGAATTTCAGGTCAACTGTAGGGAGGAAACACGTGGAACTCATGAGGAAGTCTTCTTATTTATTTAAAAAAAAAAAAAACCTGAAGCAGAAATGAACCAGGTAATTCTGAAGAACAAACATTCACTTCTGTTAAGAGCCTGGGTTTTATTACCCTTTTTTAATCTTAATATTTTTAATATTAAATTAATGTATCATATATTTAATGTTAATATTATTATTTTTTGTCATCACCTGATGGTTCATTGTTCAGTCTGTGTAATAATCAGGTGAAATGATACTGAAGTTAAAGTAAATAAATAGTAAACATTTAAACTACTGTAACTGTTTGGCAGTGGTTCCAAATGTAGGGGGCGGGACCCCTTTACTGTCAACTATAAACTGTAACATTCGTTCTGATGGCGTTCCTTCACAGAAATGAAAACTAAACTTCTAAATGTGAATGAGTCAAAAAAAAAAAAAAAAGAAAAAAGAAAAGAAAATATTTCAAAACCCAGTCAGGGCCGATTGTTGAGAAATTCGGGGAAAACACGTTGTGAAACTCTGTAAGAAGATTCAGTAATTTACCATGTTGTAAGAAGAAAGTGAAACAACGGCAGCTTTCACTGTGAGTGCGGAGAATATCTGCACAGATCACAACAACAACAACGAGGTTTTCATTTTTGTTGTTACATCTTTTGTTTATTTATTGCCACCTACTGGTCTCCACCAGGGGTGTTATCTCACAGGATTATTTACAACAGGTATTTCCACTGGGTGTTAGAGAACATGAATTCCACTTGATATATTTTCTTTGATAAATGGGTCAGTCCCACAGTAGATCACGTTTCATCACCACTTTCTGTGAATGTTCCGGACACTGATACTGCGCTGTGGAAAACCGCTGCAGGCACAGCGACGCATTCCTTCGTCCCATTTACCAGGAACAAAGTATTTTCCCCCTCGTCCACTTCCTTGTGGGAATAAAACTGACGGTAGGTGACAACACTGAACACTCCAGCAGGCTGTTCTGAGAACTGCAAGTATTTAATACTAACAGCAAGTCTTAGTTAACAAGACCTAACACGTAGTACACGTAGATCACATTTGACACAATATGCATCAACAGCCCAAGCTCTAGAACCTCAGTCAGAACTACGTTTGTTCCAGAGAACTTTGTTGATAAGATCACATTTGACTACAATGTCAAAAACCGATTCTCCAAAATTCATTTTCATCATTATATAAAACCAGTTTGAACGCACCACAACAAAGGACTAAACGTCCCGCCTCGAACCCTCGGATACTCGATAACAGCAGACAGAAGGTTAAGAAAATAAAACTTAAAAAAAAAAAAAAAATCTATTTTACTCCCAAGAATGTTTCTGCCGGTCCATCTCAAAGTACCAAATACCTACTCTTCTCACCAGGAGGAATTTCCAGCTACTTTAATAATTAGGTTGATTTCAGTGTTGGCCTGGGCCAAGTGGTTAATATTCTTGCCTTACAATAAAAAGGTCACACGTTTGACTCCACGTCTGTGGCCTATACAGAAGTAATTCCAGAAAAGAAAATCAGACACATGAAGATGCATCACCTGAGTGTTGGAGGCCACACAGTGTGAGAGTGGTTATTGCTCTTGCCTTACAATAAAAATGTCACACGTTTGAGTCCTGGTCTGTGGCCTATACAGAAGTAATTTCAGGAAAAAAAAAATCAGATATGTGCAGCTGCTGCGTGATCCTGAGTGTTGGAGGCCACACAGTGGGAGAGTGGTTAGTGCCCTTGCCTTAGCCAGAAGATCAGGTTCAAGTGTGTGAATGGTTAAGGCAGGACAAGAACCATTAATTTGTGAACCAGAACTTTTACATCAACCGTTTCCAAACGTTTTCTCCGTCTCAGTTTTTAGTGTTTTTAACAGGGATATTTTTCTAACTTTGTACGTGAGCATCTAATTACATTAAGTAGCTCAGTGAGGTCAGAGGTCACTCTGATCCTTGTCCTTGATCGATCAATGCAGGTTCATGTGATTTCGCATGAATTCATCCAATCAGGAGATTGTGTTCACGACAGGAACCAGTTCCAGACTCTGGTTTCTAGTCCAAAAAGGCTTTTTCAAAATGTTGTTTTTCTTACAGAGAGACAAACCAGCAGAAATTCACATCAGAGTTCATCAGAGGCGGCCACAGAAACCGTGACCACGGTGACGCTCACACGGTCTGGTAAAAAAAAAAACGCAGCTCAAGCTAATACTTCAATCGTACATGTGTAGGTCTCAGGTCTCAGAATATTCCTCGCTGAGTCTTCATGTTGAGGATCTTGGCAGCCAGCTTCTCTGCGTCCATCAGGTGCGGGAACAGCTCCATGACCCTGTCCACCTCCTGAGGGTTGAAGATGGCCTGCAGCTTCTTGCGGAGTTCCATTCTCCGTGGATCGCCGGACGGCGGCTGGTGGCCCCAGGAGTGGAACTCGTGAGCGGTGAGCGAGCTGCGGGGGTGTGAGGAAGAAAGACCCTGAAAGGGATCTGACCAGTAATTCTGCTGCGAGACTCCAGTGTAGTGGAGGGGCCCAGAGAGGCTGTGGTGGTGAGGCGCCCCCGGGGGGTAGATCTGAGGGTAGTTGGGTTGGCGCTCCGATTCCCACTTCCTGTGATGTTGCTGTAGAGCAGCGTTTGGAACTTGTTGGGAAAAGCAGGAAGGGCCGCCGCCGCCGCCGCCATTTTTCCCAACATGCATTGCTTGCTGCTGTGACCTGACCCTGGGGGGGTTGCCTTTGTAATGGGAGTGATCAGAGTACTGGCTTTCAAAGGAGCCAAAGCCTGAATCTAAATACTCCTGAGACATGTTGGGGTAGTACAGACTGGGCATCAAGTGTGACCAGTCTTTCTGACTCTGGCCTGCAGGGGGCAGGTGACTCGAACCCTTCCCAGGATCCTCTCTGTACAGGGGATGGTTGTCGACGATGTGGCCGGGATGCAGACCGTTTCTGCTGATCTCTGCAGGAGCGTCTGGAGGGTGGGGGGCGTGGCCAGTGTCGGGCTGCCCCTGATTGGCCAACGCTCTTTTCTCGTCTTTTGAAGTGGAAATCTGGGCTTTCTCTCTCAGTTCGTCAGCCAAAGAGAGATAGGGCTGGTTGACTCGCTCGGGGTGGTAAAACTTACACTTCATACCGTAGGTGCACTTCTTATCTGAGAAAAGAGGAAGTACAAAGAAGTATTTAACAAGTATCTAAGAGTAAATCACATTCACTGGTGAAAAAAAAAAAAAAATCTGATCTTCATTTTCTAAATCTTCAAATGCAGGTAGTGAAACTTTTACTCCCGTTTTCCCAAAACAGGAAGTGATTCAGAGATCATTGGATCACTGGAAAAGTCTACAGTTGTACTGTTTTTCGACAGCTGTCCTCCACACACACACCTCACAGCACAAATGACCCATGGACGCAGACCGGCCCACGCCCCGGTGGTTGGACAAACTTGGTTTAACCATAAAGACGGTCTTACCGTATGGACACAGCTGCCTCTTCTGCTCCGGGGGCAGAGGGTTTTTCCTCAGAAAGTTGTTCAGACTGGGGCCATGGCGACCCAGGGGGTCATCAGGGGGCATGAACCTGGACACACACGCACACACACAAATCATGCAAATTGAGACTGTTGATAATGCAGGTGTCGCCTTAATGATGTTTCCCTGAAGCTGTGACATTTCCTCAGGAGAGTCATTAAGTTCTGAAAGGAGATGGTGGAACACCAGAGGCTCAGGCGGAGATCCGGAGAACCGGACTAATTGCTTACTTGTCATTCACAAAGGAGTACATGAGCAGCCGCTCCTCGATGCATTTCTTCCACTCGGGCCGTTCCCCCTGGAGGTCCCGGTACGTGTCGTTGGAGATGATCACGCCGTCCAACTCGTACGCCAACTTGACGATGAAGCGGTCGTCGTAGCAGACCACCCTCTTGCCCCCGACTCGACGTGACGGAGTAAAGACCACGATCTTGCGTTTTTCCAGCTCCGTCAAGATGTGCTGATCTGAAAGTGCAGTCGATACACAGGTTATTTACGCAAACTGTGGGGAGAAAAAAACGTTTGTTTTCACAACGCTTCAACTTGTAGTAGCCTAGCATGTTTGTTAGAAATTCAACTTCAAGTCACTTAATTAATTGTGATTAATTCAATTATTTTTTTTATCATCTGACATTTGTTTTTTTACAGTTATATATTTATTAGCGGTGTGTATTTTCAAGAATCGATACGATACATATCGCGATATGGGGCAACGACACACAATGTATTGTAATATATTGCGATACCAGAAGCACAACAATATATAATATTGCTATATATCACAATATTATACATGGATATTTTCTTATACTCCTAACATTTATGTACACAAAGACACATTAAAACGTGTGGTTTGTTGGAAACTTCCCTCCGGAGATCAAAGACTCACTTTTCATCTTTTAATTATTTCTCCAAAATTCAAACTGAAGTGACACACTTTTCAGGGAAAGAACGCCCAGAGAGTCATCAGTAACCTCTGGTATAATCAGATTATAATTAGCCCTAACCCTAACTGAGCCAAACACTTGTTTGCTAAGCTGTTCTTCCTCATTTACATGTCAGGAATCACATGAGCCCCGAATGTAAAAAGTGTTCCTTCTGCTGCCGGAACATGATGATTCACACGCCAGCGTCGGTGTCATGGTAAATAAACAACGTGAACACACTGGGAACTGTGCACTTTGGTTGTTTCACATCAACAAATCAATCATTACATTTCGCAGCACGTGGAAAACAACAACATCAGTGTTGACTTAAAAATAAAATGTGCTCTTTTATATAAGCTGGTTAATGTGTAACCAACACCTGGAAGTATACAATAATTACCTCCACAAGTATTTTTATCACACAATAACAAAAGTTTTTATTACTTTTATCACTACTACTCTGTTCTTTACTTGTTATAAATAGATTTGATAAGTATTGGAGGAACAGGGATGACATCATCATGTCCTCAAACATTTTAGACGCAGCTAAAATTGCTGCAGCTCTCACATGAACAAAACAATAATACTGGACTCTTATGTGAATATTTTCATTTTAAATCTCTTACTAACCACGAAGAAGCTTATTAATATCACAGTACTTTGATTTGGAAGTACCTCAGTGGTAACTTGGCAGCTGGTGGACTTGAACCTAAAACCCTCTGGACTACTTCCTTAACCGCCAATCCACTACTACTAATAATATAATAATAAAATAATAAAAAACTAAAATAATAATAATATATTAATAAAACAGTATATAAATAAAATAATAAAAAATAAAATAATAATATTATAATAATAAAACAATATAAAAATAAATAATAAAATAATACAAAAATAAAATAATAAAAAATGTTTTATTTATTGTTCTTTTGTTCATATAAAAACAACATAAAAAATTAAATATGCTACTTTTGTTTAAGTAGAAAACCAGACAATTAATTTGGATTAAAAAATTCAATCTTATATTGCATTTTTATGTAAATCTTATCATATGATATCAGTAATATCGTATATCATATGATATCATATCACACAAAGCTTAAAGCGGCTGCTGACCATTAAAAAAAATGAAATACAGAATACACAAATACGATCGAGTGATTTCTTCACACTTCAACTATTCCTCCTTTATTGCCTCCTTCACTGACTGCTGATGATTGACAACACTTCAACTGCACCCTGAACTTCACATTTCACAAGGTGTGGAAGTCAAAACACGGCTGAACTTCCTTCTGGGGCTTTCCCAGGAACGGGAGATTTTTTACTTCCTTGTTCTCTTACTGAAAATAGCTCTCACCTGACTCCACCCTGGCTGCACAGTTACCAAACACCGAGAGTCACAAGGTGGTGATGACATATCAGTGTGAAGGAAGAACAACCACTTACACTTTTTCTCAACTTCTTCTTCCAGCCAGGACAGACTGGTTCTGAAAACATGGCCCATTAAATGTAGGATAATTGATTAAAAACCATTAGATGCTGAAATGCAGACGTGCAGTAGGATTCAGTTACAGGAAATGAGGCCCTGTGTACTGCACAGTACAACCTCAGTACTACTGGTGTTTGGTTTTAATCCCGTGTTGCGACAGGTCTCTCAGGCCTCGTTTCTGCCGACTCATCGTCCTGTTTTTCTAGCAGGACTCGACGACAGTGTGGACTTTGTAGTAAAGTATTTGCCGGTGAATACAGTTCTTAGTGATTGTCATGAATGACTTTGTGTTGTTTTAAGGCCGACGTGTTGGTGCGTACTCAACTGCAAACACTTCAAGGAACACAGCGATGCATTGTGGTGTGTTGCTAGGCTACAGAGAGTGGTGCATTCATGGTCTGTTCTACTGTAGAAATTCAGATTGTGTTCATCTCAGTTTCTCTGCATGTATTAAAAAATGAACACAGACTGAGCCACTGCAATCTGAGAAGGCCGGATATCAGAGGAGGTCATGACAAAATAAACCCATGAAGACAGAACAACCATTCACACTAACATTCACACCTGCGGTCAGTTAAGAGTCAACAATTAACCCAATCCCTAGATTGTTTTTGGACACACACACACAAACACACAAGGACCAGTATTTAAGAGCTGGGATTTGAACCTGTAACCATCCAACCAAGGCAAGAGCACGAACCACTTGACCCCTGTTTTACCTCCAGCACAACAATTATTTAATCTGTGGCCAAATATCCTGGCTGGATAAAAACTTCTCAAATGTATTTATTTATTTTCTGACATTTCAGTTCCATAGTGTAGTGGTTAGCAGGCCTGCCTCTGAAGCAGAGCGTGCTGGGTTCGATTCCCAGAGGAACCATGTGCTTTGTTATCAGCATACTAACACAAGAATTTCCCAAATATGGGATCAGAGGAACCATGTGCTTTGTTAGCAGCATACTAACACAAGAAATTCCCAAATATGGGATCAATATAGTACAAATTATTATTTTTATTACGATTATTTTCTGTGTGACGTTCGATCACCTGTAATGGGGGCGTCGGGCCGCGGCAGCTCTTTGCGCCAGGAGGGAACGAACACAGTGATGCTGTTGTGACCTCTCTCCAAAAAGAAATTCACGGCCAGCTGGATGCCGTGGCAGGAGAAGACTTCCTTGTTGCCGTGGCTGTAGGAGACGCAGGTGGGAGAAGAAACAGTGAGTACAGGTGAACGGTGAGTGTGAACAGTGTGACAGGAAGCTGTGGAGAAGACAAACACGGGAGGACAATCTGTCTGACGGAACCTTCCCCCGAACGTGACTCACTGTCAGGGTTATATGTCAGACCTCTTTTTGTCTCCGGCGAGGTGGAGACCGCGAGGCGTGTCACCAGGAGGAGCTTTTATTAAAAACATGCTCAGACGAGGCGGCTTGTGGAAAATCACAGGCACTTCCTCGTTTAGGAGTCAAGTCAGAGTCAAAAGTCAGAGTCAAAAGTCAGAGTCAAGTCATTAATAATTTTATAATAATTTTCAGTTTGCTCAGTCCTGACATATAAGTAACGACGATGCAGGCTCTAGACCTGTAGGTGGCAGTAATGCATCCCTAGTTCGTTAGCCAGCCAGAAAAACAGCAGATGTAAGAACATCGATGGTTATTTTTTAAATACCTGATGGCATATTTAGTTTCTTTCCCCTGCAATAGCTTTCCACCCCTCTAGGGGGCCCAGTCACTGTACCTATTGATATTGCTGTTTTGAACACCACAGTTAAATTCAGTAGACGACGTCTATCAATCTATTTCATATTTTCACACAATCACCATAACTGTGAACTCTGTTACTGACCTGGAAATAATTTTTTTTTTTTCTGAAGTTTACCTCAATGGCCACGTTGCTGCCGTCAATCACCACAGGCCTCAGCTCTGTTTCCACGTTCTGCTGGTGGCTGGGCTGCGGTACGTTCCGTGGTCCGAGGGTCCAGCTCGGAGGCAGCAGAGCGTCCTTCTGTCCCGTACTCCTCTCATCGCCTTCAAAGACGGAGACGCAGGGAGCGGAGCTGGCATTGCTCCTCACCAGCTCCCCCAGGACCGAGTTGGTGTCCGTGCTGAGGCCCAGCTTCCTCAGAGCCGACCTGACCTCCTCTGAGGAGTAGCCCAGTTTTCTGAAGGACTCCACCCTGAGCTGGAGCTCCTCGCTGTCGGGTTCCAGCAGGCCTGCGGCTGAGCTCTGACTGGGAAGTACCTGGTCCATGATGGAACATCTAGGCCTCGGTTCAGCTGCATAGATGCATTAGTTCCTCTCTAGGCTCGATCTCATAGATCACCTGGAGAAAGAAAAAGGTTTATATTTAAATGGAAAGGTTTGATAACAAAGAAAAATTACCTTTTGTCAATGGAACAATGTTTGATGAGATAATAAAAACAAACTTGGGGGCGGGGGCTGGGCGGTTGGCCATTAGTCGTCAATGTCCTGACAGAGAGTGGAGATTAAATACTGAATCCTATGGTTGCTAAGCAAGTTAGGAAGATGTATTATATTCTCTTAACCCTGCCTCGGAAGCAGAGGGTCCTAGGTTTGATTCCCAAAAAAAAAAAACCACATACTTGCTGTTAACACAAATTTTCACAAATATGGGCCAAAGGTCATATGATTATATCAAAATACACTGTAAAAACAAATTATACTCTTACATCACTAGGGCTGAAAACAGATTAACATTTTTAATCTGATCAACCACAGAGAATCTTTGGATTAATAGGGATTAATCACAATTCATTTCGAATTAATCCTGATTAAAATTCATCTGGAATAACCATGGTTTATCAAGATGAAAAATGTAATGATCTGATCTCACAGGTTGGTCCGCCTGATTAATGTTAATCTTGCGCAGCGTTCTTCATCGTCTGCTGTGACCGTGATGACAAACAGACACCTGGACCAAACACGTCCGTGTCTCTGTCTCAGCGACAGCTGTGTCTTCTGTCGATCCAGTTTTTACACCTTTAAATAAACATTCACACCATATTCTTTTATTTTAGTGAAGAAAAAAAACCCCCGAAGTCTTTTTCATCCTGGAGAGATTTCAACTCACAATAAAGTTTTATGGCACCGTTTATTTTATGGCTGCTCTGCAAAAACAGAGGAACTCTTAAAGGCATGAAACTCTGGCAGCTGTGGGTGAATATTAGCTTAGCGCTAATGCTTTTTTTTTCGCATGTGTCAATACACAAAATCATTAGTGTTGATTAGAACGTGGTGTTTCGGGTTGAATACGGACGAGGAGAGCCCCCTATAGGCGAGTGAAGTTTTCTGAATATAACACAGGTCACTAATAAAGCCATTGACATGTTTTGAGCAGCAGGGCTTGAACAGGCGACCTTCTTGCAGTAAGGCAAAGGCTCTACCCGTCATACCACTATTTGGCGCTCTCTCTCTCTCTCTCTCTCTCTGTGGTACACACACGCGTGGGTGAATATTTCACATATTTGTCATTCATAGTCAGATAAGTGACTTCTACCTCATGTCAACACCGTACTTTGATGACGTCAAGTATATTTATACTTCACAAATGCACTTCTTAGCGCTAACTTAAAAAAACAAATTAAAAAAAATACTTAGTAAGTACTGTAAATGTCATGTTGTCGTCAAACCTAGAGGAGGTTACTGTGAAGAAAACTATTTGTAACACAGTAAACCACCCAATACCTGATCGCTGTAGTAATACTGCACAGTACCCACGTCACTGGTCTGAAATATTTGATTTAGTTACTGCCAATAATTTGTCCCCGTTCCTTTTTTCAATTCAATAAATACTTTTCCCCTAGATAGTAGCGGAACAAAATGAGAGAGTGTCTTTCTTCAATTCCTGCGAATATGTCAGCATTTTGTTCAAGTCAACAGGTCCAGATCTAAACTCTGGCTTTAAAATGTCTAAAGTACTACTACTTCACAAGTATTACGTGTAACAGCAAGTCTATCCACAGACACTGTATCTGTCAGTGTCAGTGTCTGTGTCGACCACTGTACAGTACTGAAACAGCTGCTTTAAACAGTACTATGTGTAACAACACGTAGTACTTCTACGCGTACACACAGGACCCCGAGCAGGTAAGTCGTTATCAGTGAAGCATTACTACAGTAGTGTGACAGTTGTGTGTGACTTCTTCGTGTCTTAAATGTCTCACTTCTCCCTTTCTGTACTTTTTTAAACCCCGACAACAAACATCGCTACAGCGGGAGAAGAGAAGCCGAGTGGCCGAGCGGAGAGTGGAGTGGAGCGGCCTACCTGTGTGTCAGTGTCTCCTTCAGTCAAAAAGTCACCGCTGTTCACAGAGCAGCTGCTTCTACATGAAGTTTCTTCTGACTGATCAGCGCCTCCCTCCTGACACACACACTACACACACACACACACACACACGAACGAACGAAGGCACATTTGCATAAGACCGACGACTCCTTTTCCTCCCACTGATAATCAGTCACTGACCTGGAATACAACCAGAACGGACTACACTGTTTCAAAGTCACGTGTGTTTTTTTTATTTTTTATTTTTATTATCAGCCACACTGTTGTCGGACAATCTTTAACCTACTGTCGCTTTAAGACCGAGTATAAAAAAAGGCTCCAATGTGGAGAGAATAAATCACAACTATAAAGTCGCAAAGTTGGAGAAAAAGTCGTAAATTTACAAGAATAGCGTCGTAATGTTACGAAAGAGAGAGAGAACAAAACAAACTTTGAAAGAAGTCGTTGATTTAAAAGGAAAAGCCTCAAGTTAGACAGAAGTCAAATGCGGAAGTTAATGAAATGTATAAAAACAAAGTCGCAAATTAATGTAATTTTATAAACAACAAAAGTCGTTAATTTACAAGAATAACGTCTTAATATTAGTGTAAAAAGTTTGTGAGAATTAAGTCGAATTATGACGATGAGGAAAGTCGTACGTTTTTAGTAAAGACGGTACATTGTGAACGTTGTGTGAGAATTAATCTGAAATCTGAAAAAAAAAAGGTTTAACGTCTAAGACGGCGAGGTCGTAACGTTTACGTGGCAGTAGATGGCAGTAGTGTATAAAATATCAAAGGCGACGACGGCGGAATGGGTCTCCCCTCCCCGAAGAAAAGTCATTTGTGATAATTATAATAATCATCGTTAACACTCTAGCTTATAACTTTAAACCGACTGAAAACAACGACATTAATTTATTCTAAAGTAAAGAAAAATAAATAAATGAACAGAGAAATTGTGACGACGGCATTAAAAAAAAAAAAACAACCAAATAATAAGGAAGTGAAAAATAAAGCGGTCATTTCCTGCAGGTGTTCCGGATTCGAGTCCGCCACATCCCAGACAGGAAGTGCTACGTCACGAGTGACGACTAAATAAACACAAGACATAGTTCTTAGAAGTCTGTATTTTTTTTCCTATTTTACTTCCTTTGACGTCCTCAACTATGAAGTGTCAATAAAGATCGGACTTCAGACGTGACGTCACTATTTGTCAAACATGGTCAGGTCGAATTTACATAGAGTATGAGAAAAAAACCCTCTTGTGAACAGTGAAAATTACTCATCTGTGAGGGTTTTTTAAAATCTAAATCTAGATCATTATTTATTATAAGTCTGTAAACCAGTGATGTCACGTCCTCCAGATCACGTGTTGAAACGTAAATCTACAGAAATCTCAACTTCAGCCACACAACGTTCTGCTACATACGTACGTTCTGCTACATACGTACGAACGTATCTACATTTTTTTACGATATATATTTTTTGAATCTGTTTATTTATTTCCACTTGTAAATCATCCTACATACAAACGTATCTACATTTTTATGATATATTTTTTGTTTATTTATTTCCACTTGTAAATCATTTTGTCACTTTTTTCCCCCGTAAATTAAAATAAAATATTAAATGTCAGTGTTGATACATCGCGATCACATTTACTGCGACGAAAGTGGGCGACCGATTGATTAGGAGCAGCACTGGAGGAGTTAAAATATTCTAAAAAAATAAATATATATAAAAAAAATACAAATTTATGAATACTCCCAGAGTAGCTTAATATAGCTTAATATACTACGTAATATAAATTAGGTAAGGTTTACCATGGCATGTTCACAGATCATGCAATGCTACATTATGCCCGCTAGATGTCACCCCTGCCTAATTTATCCCCATGCAGAGGTTGAACCTCATGATTGAAGTTGCTGGGCAGCAGGCGGTTGTCAGTGTGTGTATATAGTGTGTGTGTATAGTGTGTAGTGTGTATATAGTGTGTAGTGTGTGTGTTTAGTGTGTGTGTATATAGTGTGTGTGTGTAAACACCTCTTTGTGTACAGGGTTAAAGGCATGGTGGAGCCGGGATCACTCAGCGTGGAGCTGGTTAATGACACAGACACAGCTGAGTTCCACAGAGTGGAGAAAGTAATCAGGACCAGTCGCCACGTGACTTCATCCTTTACAGGGCCACACTGCTGGTCCCAGGTGTCTGCAGGGCCATGAGCTGCACACACACACACACACACACACACACACACACGCAGGCTGTGTCCTGTGTCTTCAGAACTGTTTCAAACCTGATCCAAACCTTATGCATCAGTTATTAATAAACAGCTGTTTCCCATCTAACAGCAGTTCATGCCTGGGATCCCCAACCCCTGGTCCGAGGACCGGTACCAGTCTGTAGATATTTTGATGTTGCACCGCAGTACGAGACATTGAAAAAATATATACTTTATTTTTTTTTCTAATTTACTTCATTCAAAGAGAATCCACTCACTATTTACTTTCTTAATTTGAAGATGATCTGTAACAGAAGTCCAAAAAAATAACTTGACAACCATAACATAATTACCTATAAAAAGCAATGAGTCCATGTTTATAAATCTTTTTGATGAAATATAATTTTACTAATTATATCTTGATCATGAAGTGTTTGTGTATTTTTTTAATTTAAAAATTAATCAAGCGAGCCAGACTGAACCTCTTAGCCGCGGGCCATATGTTTGACACCCCTGGTTTAAAGCCTCCTCTAACTGCCCTATAGTCAGAGCCCATGTTTTCCGTGCTACGTGTCTGTAATCTTGGAGTATTCCTGTCTGGAACCCTTGGCTTGGCGCCCCACATATTGACCCTCCCTGAGTGAAGTGAAGTGAAGTGAAGTGAGGTAGATGGCAGGAGATGAGTCCAGACTGGGTTACATTTATCACCTTAACACCTGGAGAGTGGCGTGGCCCTCCTGGGAGGCGTATCTCCTTCCCGCAGCAGGTACAGTTTGGCAGGTCTTGTTACGGCCCAGACGGTTGATCAAATATTCCGTCCGGCTCATTGTGCTGCCGACGGCGTTCGCAGGTGGTTGGGTTGGTTGGAGCTTCATTGATAAAACACAGCTCTCTGCGAGCGCGTCGGTCCCACTCCACTCTTCACTGTTCCTTTCACCGAACGCTTTGACTCGGCCGTCTGTCCAAAAAAAAAAAAAAAAAAAAAATGATTCCTTTTAAAAAGAACTTAAGTACAGAGAAGACAGCCTTTAACTGGAGCCATCCATCTTACGGCCGCGGTGTCAGAGTGATTCACGATTTCCAATTTAGCCACGGTTTGAATCTAAAGCAAACCAGGCAGCGGCGCTCGGCCCTTTTGTGCAGCCAGACGACAAACCCTCTGTGACAAGAGCCTTCAAAGCAACATATCCCCCACATTCATCTTGTTCATTTATTACTTCAGACACACCGCTGCCTGTCCTGTATGGGAGACCTCCTGCCATTGTGAGTGTGACTGTTGTTCAAAGTGCTCAGGTGATGGAGCCTGGATGGAGGACAGAAGAATGGGAAGACAGGTTTGTAGGTCTGTGGTGAGATTTCTTTTTTTTTTGCCCCCCAGTCACGGGTGAATATGGGTCAGAACTGAAGACACTTTTAGAAACAGTCGACTGTTTGTTAGAATTAAATGGAACTGAATCAACGGAAACACCTGAAAGGAAGTCAGTGGACCACGACAACAATCATCTCAGTCACACACACACACACACACACACACACACACACAAGGACATCTTTGTTTTTTTTTCCTCTATCAGTGTTTCATGGTGAAATCCTTGTTTTTATTTACATCAAAAATACTTCCTGTAAACCTTCAGGTTGAAGTCAGTCCAATAATTAAAATATTAATTAAAAGTATGGATGTCCGATAATACCGCCAACCGATATTATCGGCCGATATTAGCATATCATTAGCAAGCATGTTATTGGATTCGATAATGAAGACCCGATAACGCAATGTTTCGACCTGATGACGTGACCTGAAAATAGTTCTGAAGTTAAAGTAAATATAAATGAATATTTGTCTTTGTACATCACTGCATATATATATATATATATATATATATAGGGTGGAGGAAGGAGAGAGCGAGTGGTGAGAGACACAGGGTGAGACACAAGAACAATACTTTGGATATCGGCAAAAAATTAATATCGGACATTCCTCTGTATAACCAGTGTTTCAGATATAGATAAAAAAAACAAGCAAAGAAAAAGAAAGATTTTGCTTTTTGCTGTGTATGAAAATGAACTCTTTGAATCTTGATTTAAATATGAATAAAAAATGGACGAAATTTGAATAAAAACTACTACAGATAAATAAAAACAATCTGTATCTGTCTGCTCATCTCATTTATACTAAAATGCAAATATAAGTAGTCAAATATATATTTATGCCTTCGTGACATCTGCGTCATTTAAATTTAGCATTTTCTAAACTGTGTCTTTTATGTTGCTTATTTTTCGGGACCTTGTAAAATTTTATTTAAATTAAAAAAAAAATGCCTGTTAGCGGCAGAGATTCTGGAGTTACATGTTTTTACTGCACCATCTGGGCATCAAAGATGTTAATTTAAAAAAAAAATGTTTTTACTGCGCCATCTGGGCATCAAAGATGTTAATTTATATTGCCAGAAAAAAAAAAGACATAATAATAAAAATAATCAAAAATCAACTACAAATGAATATATGAGATCAATACACATATAATACACGTTATAATGTAAAATAAATGAATAAAAACTGACATCGCTGTAAAAACTCAATAATCAAGAACAGGCGGCCGAGTCCTGGGCAGCTCTGCTGAGTCCACGACTACTGAGAAGTCCTGACTCGTCTAGTATATAATACTACTTCTACTCTATATACTAGGGCTGCAAATATATGAAAAAAAAATACTGATAATCATAATTAATTAGGATTAATCAGCATTGATCGATTGATCGATCGATAGAACTTTCATTCATCCCTCGGGAGTTCCCTTTGGGAAATTAAGGAAGATTCCAACATTCCATATTCAGTACTATCGTGTACTGTGTGCAGAAGCGGCATTTGTGAGGATTGTTTCTCTTAAAACTGTAATACTTCAGTGAAATATTACCTCACCATAAGGCAGTACTTCGCTCATCACTCTTCCGTG